CGGGCTGGGGATTCGAATCCGCCACCTTAGGTGTATGTGGCTGGCGCCTTAGCCGCTTGAGCCACAGGCGCCGAGCCCCAACTCCTGGTCTTAAGCGATCCACCAGCCTTGGTCTCCCAAAGTGCTAGGGTTACAAGCATGAGCCACTGTACCTGGCCCCCTTTTAGATACCTTAAATGCATAACTCATTAACTTCTGACAATCACTAAGTTCTATCATTAATCTCATTCTGCAACAGGTTAAGAAAGGCTAAGTGACATGTATACAGTGATAGCAAGTGAGGGAAGTAGTTGGGATTTGTACCCAGGCTATATGGCTCCCAACCTCCTTCCTCTGCATAAATCTAAAACAATGAATGGAATATTTACCAAATGTCTTCCACCAGTCCTATGCTGGGATAAGTCAGAGAAAGATACAGGATCTTTTTCTAGGGGTTTGTGTTCTAGTTAGAGAAATAAGCCATTGGCAATTAGCTAGATTTTTTTAAAATGTTACTGTATGGAACAGAAGTTTAGATATATTAAAGTCACAAATGTAATCAGTAAAGGAATTAAAAATAAGAATTTTAACAAACATTGTGAAGGGCTAAGGAGCCCAAAGAGCTAAATCCTTATTTCCACAGAGGGGAGGAATTCAGGAAATGGAGGTATACAGGTATTCCCTACACCTATGGAGGTACCTGCCAGAAGAACTGACAACAGAAATCTTTTGGCTCGGTGCCTGTGGCTCAAGTGGCTAAGGCGCTAGGCACATACACCTAAGGTGGCAGGTTCGAATCCAGCCCAGGCCGCCAAACAACGACAGCTGCAACCAAAAAATAGCTGGGTATTGTGGCGAGCACCTGTGGTTCCAGCTACTTGGGAGGCTGAGGCAGGAGACTTGCTTGAGCCCAGGAGTTGGAGGTTACTGTGAGCTGTGATGTCACAGCACTCTACCCAGGGGGACAGCTTGAAGCTCTCTTTTAAAAAAAAAGAAAATAAAAATCTTTCAAAGAGACTACCCTTGGGAAGTGTGGCTACAAATGCATATACGATTACTTTTTATCCCATACCACTTCTGTATTCTTAGACTGAATGTGTGACTATCTACATTTTAATATAATGCAATTTTAATTGTAAGAGAATTACGACTAAGGAGGGTGGATTGTGCCTGAGTTTGCTTTTCCTCCCTTCCAGGGCACCACTGAAATGAGAAAAAGACACAGCATTGTTATAAATCTAGAAATCACTAAAAGTAAGGAAGCATGCCATCAGCACATCAGAAATCCTGATGAATCTCTACCAGGCAGTGGATACGGAATTATACTAAGCAATAAAGAGGATATTATAGCTGAAAACCCTTCGGGGAGAAGTTACAGATTAGTGGGAGCCACATCTGCCAGCACAAGAGGGTCTAAGAGAGTGGGTGTGTTTGCTGAGTAGGAGCAGGCTCTGAGGAGTCATCAGTAAACCCATGGAGGTCAGCATGTGCACACAGCTGAACTTATCTATAAAACACAGTTTTCATCAAGCTTTACTGTGCTAATGGGTTCCCTGGAGAGCTTGTTGAAGTGCACAACCTGATTCTGAAGATCTGGAGTTGGGCCTCAGATCCTAGATTTCTATTTAGAGCTGAGCAACCAGGCTGCTGGTCCATGGACCATACTCTGAATATTAAGAGTGTTCTAGAAAGACTTCTTTGAGATGGGCCTATGGAAGGGGAACTATGAATGGAAGAGAAAAAGGAGAATAATATATCTGAGGAGTTTCTGGATCCCCACAACGGGCTGCGGTAAAAGCAACCAAAAAAAGCTGCTCGGCTCAGGACTGAAATACTCTTTGCTGAAGTATTCTATTCCTCACTGGGAATGAAGTCCTCTCAAGTTTATTTATTTTCTAAATAAAAAAGAGTTGAGTGGGAAATGAGTATTGGTAAGAGGAAGAATCTAGTAACACACAGTATCAAGGCAGATTTGTAAGATTCTGAGGAGAAATAAGAGAAAACAGAAAACAATGTTAAGATTTACAGTGTTAACCACAAAGTGAGGGCAGATGAGAACATAGTGGGGACTTGGCTTGGTGAAGGTCACTAGCAAAGCTTTGTTGTCTGTATTGAGTCCAGTAAACCAGGTATAATTATTTCCCTGAGGGTAAAAAAAGGAGTCCAAATTTCAGGCTGAAAGGGCCCACAGTATGCCCAATAAAGAAGAAATACCAAAACTTACATCTATTCTGGTAAAAACACAAAAAAGCCTAAGAGGGGGAAGAAAAATTCCTAACAGTTTCCAGAAAGGAGGAAAGAAAGGAATGAAACCAGGATTGGATCTAAGAACAGAAGTGGCCACAGGGTCTGAACACCAAGCAAAGAACATGACAACTGGAATAGACTGCTAGGCAAAAGCCTCATTTGCATATAACAATAGCACATGTCATCAGAACTGAGGCATATTCATAAGTCTGGAGGTTCTAAAAAGGGCTCTTGGGTGCCTTCCAGAGGCCAAGATCTCACAGGTCAAGCCGGTTCCCCTTTCCTTGGCCTAACTCACCTGGACAGCTCCGCATTGGGGTTTCTCTGTTTGTCACCCAGGACTCTTCTCCTGGTCCCAACCTGAAGATCCCATCTGGTTTGGTGACTAAATACCCTGTTCAGAGGAAATGACATAGAACTTTGTTATGAACGCTGAAGACATTCCAGAACAGAGGCCTTTCCTTATAAGATGAAGATGGCTTGGTTGTGGTGACTGCCCCATGCACATAGGTATTTGCCCCTCAGTACAGAACATTCATGTAGCAGGTGAAGACACAAGCATCCTGTCCAGTATCTAAATGGGGCTATGGGATTTCTGAGCTGAGCCAGCAGCAGCTCAGAAAGGGAGACACTACTGGGTGCACTCTACATCACACTGTACAGTGGTCCCTCACCCACAGACACCAAGTGGCTGTAGTTCTCAAGCATGACATCCCTGTAGAGGTTCTTCTGAGCAGAGTCCAGTTGCTGCCATTCCTCCAGGGTGAAGTCCACAAACACATCCTTGAAAGTCAGTGATTCCTGTAACAGCACATTCCTTTTTAGCACAAAGGGATCATCCTGGGGGACAGGGACATGACACCTCACACACATGGAGGGCTTATTCTGTGCCCGTTCTAAGTCTTTTACATGTACTAAAGATTGTTCATCACCACAACCCTAGGAGAAACTTGACAGCCGAGGAATATGAGGTGCACAGAGCCTAAAGTAACTAGCCTAGGTCACATAGCATGGAATGAGGAATTCAAATCCACCCAGTCTGGCTTCAACATCTGCCTTTCTCTATATAACTGTTTTTATGCTATTCACTTGTCATAATTTGTCACAGTGAATCACATAAAGGATCTACGTAACTAAAATTATTTTAAACTTTATAGGAGAAACAGATAGGCTGTTTAGAAGTATCTTACCCTAGAAATTCATTCAACACATATTTATTGAATGAAGACCAAGCTGGTAAGTTCTATGGATATAAAGACTAATATTAAAAAAATGCTCTTGCTCTCAAAGAGCTTCAGTTTGATAGAGAAAGAAAAACATCATTTACAGACTGGTAGATGACAGGGAGGGAGGAAGGGGGTCTGCCTTACAGGAACAATGACAGATGTAGAACAGGGCCCATGTGGCCCAGAGAGGAGAAGTCAGTTCTGCTGGGAGCTGACAGAGCAAGCTATTCAGGGCATACAGATCTAGAACAAATCATTCTAAACATAGATAATCAATCATGACAATCAGTCCTAATGGTAGCTCATCAATCATGAGACAAGAACAGGAAACCAGAGGGTCTGTGGCCTTGGCAGCTGACTGAGGCAAAAAGGGGAAAGGTCTATGTTTTTCAATAAACAAGAACTCATTTATAGAATTGCTTTAATTCCTATCTTCTAGAAGTATCCTAAGACAGATCAGGGGCGGCGCCTCTGGCTCAGTGGGGTAGGGCACCAGCCCCATATACGGAGGGTAGTGGGTTAGAACCCAGCCCCTGCCAAAACTGCAACAAAAAATAGCCGGCACTGTGGCAGCTGCCTATAGTCCCAGCTACCTGGGAGGCTGAGGCAAGAGAACTGCCTAAGCCCAGGAGGTTGCTGTGAGCTGTGACACCACCGCACGCTACCAAAGGCAATAAAGTGAGACTCTGTCTCTAGAAAAAAAAAAAAAAAACCACAAAGACTGATCAGCCAGCTGGGTGCAGTGCCATACGCCTATAATCCTCGCACTTCTGGGAGGCCAAGGTGGATTATCACTTGAGGCCAGGAGCTTAAGACCAGCCTGGGCAACATAGTGAAATACCATATCTACAAAAATTTAAAACAATGAGTTAGCTGGGTGTGGTGGCATTCACCTACAGTCCAAAGTTACTTGGGAGGCTGAGGCAGGAGGATCACTTGAGCCCTGGAGTTTCAGTTCCTGTGAGGTATTATGATACCACTGCATCCAGCCTGGGCAACTGAGTAAGTCACCTGTTTATGCTCTGAACCCCATCCTCTTTTGTCTACACATGGTGATCGTAAAGAGACATTTTGCACCAACAAGGCCCAAACTGGCCACAGTGAGCACCAGTTTACTTATCTGTGCAGGACAGGAAACAGGAAAACCAGCATGCCAGAGGGTAGTGATAGGCAAATTTCTCCAGCAGGTCTTCTCAGGGCAGCCTAACTCCCCTCCCACCCTCCTTCCCAGTGATAGATGAGGTGCTAGGGACCATGCCCACATTGGTGAGTGTAGGGTCTACCTGGCTTAGAAGCCCTGAATGTCAAAATTCACCGTGCACATAGCTATCACCTAGAATTCTCATCTCCAGAAAGTTACCTTACAGACCAGACGTATTCAGGTGCATACAAACTAGGATATACATGGAATTCATGACTATTTATAGCATCAAAAGACTAGAAATATCCTAAATGTACAAGCTTGGCAGAAAGGTAAATAATGGTATTTCCAGCCAGAAGAATATTAAGCAGCCATTTTTGTAAATGAGATATCCAAATGGTTTTCAAAACAGGGTGATTTTGTTCCCTCCAGAAACATTTGACAATGTTAGTAGAAATTTTTTATTGTCATGACAAGGGAGGTAGGAAAGAGGTACAGGCGTCTAGAGGGTAGAGGCCAGCAATGTTGTTTAATATCTTCCAATGGACAGGACAGTTGTCTATTAACAAAAATTACCTGGCCTAAAATGTCAGTAGTGATGAGGTTAAGAAAACTTGGGATTAAAAAAAAAGAAAACTTAGGGTAGACCAATATGTTGTGAAATGGAATGATCATTAACTTATGGAAAGGACCAGAATGTACACTAATTTGTTAGCAAAAAAAGAAACAAGGGAAAGAAAAAAGATTCATATATTTAGGTAGATATGTGTATATAATCTCTGGAAGAATACATGAAAACCTGGAAGAGGAGACTTTGGTTGGCGATAGAGCAAGAGGGAACATGATGTTTCTCCTTTTTTTCAGCAAAGCTTTTATTTAGCCAGGCATGGCTGCTCATGCCTGTAATCCTAGCACTTTGGGAAGCTTAGACAGGAGGTTCACTTGAAGCTAGAGTTAAGAGACCAGCATGAGCAAGAGCAAGAACTTGCCTCCACACAATAAATAAATAAATAAATAAACAAATAAATAAATAAAAAAGAAAAATCAGTCAGGCCTGGTGGTGTGTGCCTGTAATCCTGATTACTTAGGAGGCTGAGGTAGGAGGATCACTTGAACCCAGGAGTTCAAGGTTATAGTGAGCTATGATGAGGCACTCCAATCTGGGGAACAGAGTAGAAAGCTTTTTAAAAAAATTTTTTTAGAATGTGTAAAAATTACTTTAAAACATGTTCAATTTAATTGATTAATGCTTTATTCAGAATACGGGTTTAGAATCTTGGCATCTATATCCTTAAGTAAAGCTAGTATATAATTTTCTTTCTGGTTGTATCTTCATCAAATTTAAGGTTAGGCAGATTTATAAAAGGAATTGGATTCTTCTTTGCTTTTGTTAGCCAGGAAACCTTAAATGTAGAAATCACCTAGTCTTTACAATGTTGGGAAAGTAGTAATTAGCACAAACTTAGAGAAGGCAAATTTAAGGAAATATATGTGTAAGGAAAAGAAGAAATGAGGTACAGGTCCCAAAAGAATACAAAGGGCAGAGGTTCGCAACCTGTGGGTCACAGCCCACGGGAACTGTATTAAAGGGCCGCGGCATTAGGAAGGTTGAGAACCACTGACATAGGGAATCGTCTTTCTTTCTTTGCTCCTCTTGCTCTTTCTTTCTTTGTCTCCTTCTGTCTCTGAGGGTAAGGATTAAAGAAACCTACAGTAGTTGACAGGTTGAATAGAAAACAGAGGAAATTGACAGATTTTTTTCAAGGCTACAATATAGATTCCTAAAAGCTTCCTCAAGTTCATTGGAAAAAATAGGGGTAAATTAGGAACTCACCTGAGACACAGCCATCCTGTTCTGCTCTGTAAAAAGGATGGAGATCTACAAAAGTAGAATTAAGAGGGTTGAGATCAGTGGATACAGACATGAGACTAACATAATTAACCTAATAATAATCACCCATGCACCCTGGGAAGAATGATCTGGAAACATGGCCTGGTAGCTCCAGCCATTCCTATAGGATTTTGCTAAGATCACGTGCCCTGTTTATATGAAATTTTGTTTGCTTACTGGAAAGATATTTGACTTCTTACTAAAGACATCTACTTCAGAAATCATTAACAATTTGACACTTTTATCTCCAGAATTCTGCTAGAAACTTGTCATAATAAAGCGATTATAAATGTGCACAATGTAGTAATTCCCATGACTCAAAATTTGGAATTATTGAAATAAAAAAAATCAAAATTTGTAATCAACCAAACTTCCAACAAAAAGAACCCAAAACATATGATACATACAGAAACGAGGCAGGTTAGGTGGCAAGCACTTGTAGTCCCAGCTACTCAGGAGGTTAAAGTGGGAGGATCACTTGAGCCCAAAAGTCCAAGGTCAGCCCAAGCAACACAGCAAGGCCCTATCTTTTAAAATAAAAATGCTACTGAAAATTTGTTTTCAGTTCTTAAGGTACTTAAAAGTGGGTACAAAAAAGTGTAGTGTCATCTCATTTTGGTTAAGCAATATTATCATATATGATGTATTGAAGAGAATTTATTCAAATGTTAACACTGGTTACTATTCATGGTGATTTAAATTTCCTTCCCTTATTTATTTCAATTTTCTCACTTTTTGACAATATTATTAGTGAAATAAAAATTAAAAATTATTAAAAATCACCTATTATCAAACAGAACCCTAGAGATAAAAAAAGACCTCAGCAAAGCATGTATGAGAAGGATCTCTTGATGCAGTTTGCTGACAGAAGACAAACCAGGGCTCAGAGGAATGCAGGGAGGGTGGGATGGGGGCAGGTGAGTAACAGTACTGCATTCCTTAGTTCTATGTGGAGTGGAAAACCACTGTGCCTGCCCTCCTCTGTCCTCCACACATCACTGGCTGTTGCATCACCCTGTTCCTGCCCATCCCTTCCTCTTTTCCAACAATTTGCATTTTGACTGCCATTCTCTCTTGTTTGGCAGTTTTTCAGAAAGTTTTTGCAAGAGCTTCTGGGCAGAGTAACCATCATATACTGGAGCAACCACTGTGACAGCATCAATACAGTAAGGAGGTCCATGTAACCTAACAAGTCATGTTCTTAGGCCTGGCTTCATTAAGCATGAAAATGAGGCAACAGGCTCGGCACCCGCAGCTCAGTGGTAAGGGTGCTAGCCACATTCACCGGAGCTGGTGAGTTCAAACCCCACCCGGGCCTGCTAAACAACAATGACAACAACAACAACAAAAAGATAGCTGGGCATTGTGGCAGGTGCCTGTAGTCCCAGCTACTTGGGAGGCTGAGGCAAGAGAACTGCTTAAGTCCAAGAGTTTGAGGTTGCTGTGAGCTGCAATGCCATGGCACTCTACCAAGGGCAACATAGTGAGACTCTGTCTCAAAAAAAAAAAAAAAAAAAAAAGGCAAAGGAACTGTATGACAGCATACTTGTACACTACTATGCAAATCTACACACATAAACTAAAAATGTGTTTTCAGGCTAGATGTGGTGACTCATGCCTATAATCCTAGCACTCTGGGAGGCTGAGGTGGGTGGAATGCTTGAGCTTAGAGTTTGAGACCAGTCTGAGCCAGAGTGAGACCCCATCTCTACTAAAAATAGACAAACTAGCTAGGTGATGTTTGCAGGTACCTGTAGTCCCAGCTATTTGAGAGACTGAGGCAGGAGGATCACTTGAGCCCAGGAGTATGAGGTTGCTGTGAGCTAGGCTGATGCCGCAGCACTCTAGTCTGGTGAACAGTCTGTCTCAAAACAAATTTTCAGCACCTTGGTGAGAACAAAGGGAGATTCAGCATTTCCCCTGAGCAGCTGTAGGGTTGATTCCATGGCACAGACTCAAATCAAAAATAGGTATGGCAAGAGATGGGGGCACTAAGGTGAACAAGCAGGTGTGCTAGGAGAGATAAAGTCTTCTGTGGCTGGTCATGATCCTTCCCAGTCTCATCCTGCCTTTGCAGGCACTACAGCAGGGTATCTTCCCACCATGGTAGATATCCTTGCCTCGATCTACCTGTGACTTTCATCTCTCTCCCCTCCAACAGGGATCAAACTGCCCAAAGTCACAAGGTCCTTCATGGCAGCTGGAAATAGAGCCATCATTGTCTCTCTCAGCTGACAGTGAGAGACAAACACCACTGTATTCCAGCTCTTCTAGGACCACTATCCTGCGAGCCTCTTCCCTCTGCCCTGAGCATGTGGGCCTGGGCTCTGTGTCCAGACTTTTCCAATTTGCCTCAGAGCCTCTCTCCTGTCCCCAAGGAGACAGAACCAAGAAATTCAGAGACAAACACATCTTAGCTGGGACCTTCACTGTAGCACCAGATCTCTGCCTGTGACCCCGGGGAACTCACCTCCTCCTGGAGCCTTAGAATGGGTCTTCTCAGACTAAGTGAGGAAGCATGGGCGCAGATAAGCTGGAGCCTGCAGTTGGTGAGCCGTGGTCTCAGTTATGCACTCTGAGCCTGGACACACAATGATCACAGGAGATTCCATTAGCAACCCTTTGCTACCTTCCATGGAGTGAAGTTCAGTAAAAGTCAAAGGTTTTCACTCAACAGAAGGTACAATGCCTCATTTTAGTTTTAAGTTAACATTCATACAGAGCTCACTACTCAACAATGAGTTACAAATTGCCTTACAAAGAGTCCCATCTTTGGAACCAGCTAATAGCCTGCTGTGCTACGTTAATTCATTTAAGAAATGAATGCCTTCTATGAACATGTCCTCTGTGTTGGAGATATATCGGTCAACAAAATCTCAGTTTCCCGCTCTGGTGGAGTCAGACAAGGAACAACAAACATAAACATAGGAAAAGGTGGCTCGGCGCCTGTGGCTCAACCGGCTAAGGCGCCAGCCACGTACACCTAAGGTGGCAGGTTCGAATCCCCAGCCCGGACCGCCAAACAGCAATGACGGCTGCAACCAAAAAATAGCCGGGCGTTGTGGCGGGCGCCTGTGGTCCCA